AGAGGTCTTTAATTCCCCCCCCCCCCCCCTTCCAACTACAACATGTACCATTGTTCTGTAAACGTAGTTATTTGTAGAGCATTGGAATTGAATAAATGGTAGGTTTGGTTATCTAGGAACCCCAAAAATGTCCTGCAACACCACTTGGTAACAAGATCTTGGTAGGGCATCTCTTGCGTAAGGTTTGCAAGTTTATTTCCTATGGCACTGGGATCCATTATGAAAGTTTCTAATTTCTTGTTGTGGCTAGGACAATGTTTGGTCTGAGATTTTTGTATAGAATATTATACCGATTTCTGACATTTTCTATCATTTTTATTGTATTGCATCTCCATCACAAGCCCCCTATGTGATAGCACATTGGCGGTGACAGCTTCTCTTTAAGGGACATTAGGGGTCTATTAGACTTCAGGTCGTCCCCTGCTGATTGACAACAGGCAGTTGGTGGGTGCAATAGCCAGTCGGCTATTGCAGTTTAAAATAGGCTGGCTATTGCTCCCAGCTGCTGGCTGGGACACTTGTCACTGGCTTGCTAGTGCTGGCAGTTCATGGGAATAGGGGGCATGGGTGGGGAAAGGGGGGCAGTTGATCGGAAGGCGGGGGTATTGCAGGGCAAAGTGGCAGACAGTCTCTCTTCCCCAATGGATGCCGGCTGCAGCGATCTGTGTCCAATTCCCAACTACCTTTTGTGAATATGGGCAGGAAGAGCAGCAGGGCATGAAGGGGACACAGGCCGCTGCAGCCAGCGCACCAGCGGGGAGGAGAACGGCAGAGCTGATTGCGGCGGGGGACAGTGAACAGGCTGACAAAAAAACCTCTTCTGTGTGTGTGGCTCCATGCTCTATATCGCATGGTGGTAGTCAGCAATTACACACATTTCTACACTGAATCCTTCTGCAATCCAAGTTGCATGTTGATTGAAGTAGAACACAAGCTCCATTGTTATGCAATGAAAACTCCTGTAAGTTGTCTATAGGCACAATATATAAAAAAAAGTGGACATTCTCCCAACCCAGCCCTTTTTCGGGTGGATCAGTTGATGATTTTGTGTCTGAGCTTTTTACACACACTGGTAGCATCCACAAGGCATCCTAAAGCAAATAATCAGATGGGTTTGAAAACCTTGCCACCATTTTCCTGATACGACCATTACAGGGGTTTTTGACATGCACCTTGCTTGCATCTCTGCTGATGGTGACTGGATCGTACCTGTACATCTGAGTTCTAGTCTTCATGTTCTAGAATGTGTGCAGTCCTTCTGCAGCTACTTTTTTTTTTTTTACCTGTCTTAAGACTGATTGCTTTGGGTTATATTGTGTTAAAGCATGACTGAACCTAAGAACAAACATTTGATTTCTTTATAGTAAATCACAGCACACAAGGTTGGCTTCTAGAACCAAAGGGTTATGCGCCACCTCAAGGCGATTAGATGCTGGTAAAGTTGAAAACCTAGCCCTGTGTTACCTCTTCCACTTCCAATATGTACTTGGGTGATGGATGTTTCTCTCTGCTTTGAGGGAATTCTTTTACAGAGTTTTTTTTTTTTTCTTTCTGATCTTCTATCAAGTCTTTTCTGGTGTCTGGATGGCTAGTCTTAGGAAAACCTTGCAGGAATGGCAAAAATTATATATGTGAATGGAGCCTTAAGTGCAGCAGTAGCCGTATTTATCGGAATTGGTAACCTCTGTCTTTGCCCTACAGAACAACTTTCCTACCAGGGCAGTCAGCTCAAATGTTGTCAGCTAATGTCCAGCAGACGGTGCACAGCTTGGGCTAGATTCTGAACATCCAGAAGTATGCACGGGATCCCTCCTTGTCGCTTGTAGTACCTGGGCCTAGTCCTGTACACTGCCCTGTCTCGGGTATCCTGCTCCCCTCCCTCTGCTCCCAGGTGGGGGCTTTGTGGGTTTCCCCCACTGTTTGCCTCTGCTCTCCTTCTAGGCAGTCTACCATTCTGGTACAAACAGACTCAGTCTCTGGATTTACACATCCATGTGTCTGACCAATAGAAGTAGTATGGCGCTGCAGTGCTTGATTTACAGGAAAATTTGATTTTTCAGGAAAATCCTTAATCACAATGGTCTGGAAGGTACTGACAATGGACAACATGTTAGGCTGGGGAGGAATCCTGGATTCCCTCGGGAGCCACTGTTGAGGGAAGCTCCGCTCCCAATCCGTGCACTGGAGCTCAGGTCAATTGGGCTATCCCTTTAGCACTGGACCTCCTAGACCACTGGTCAGAGTGCATTCAGACAACACCATGGCATTGGTGTACATCCACCATCAAGTGGGCATCAGAAGTCATGCAGCTCAAAGAGAAGCATCACTGATTTTAGTCTAAACTTCACCTTCCTGCCCTGTCCGCAGTACACAATCCAGGAGTGAAACATTGGTAGTCAGACTTCTCAGCTGTCAACATCTGGATCCCAGAGAATTGTGTCTACACCCACTTTCAAGCTCTGTGTGTCAGTCCGAGGACGCTGCATGTGAACTTCCTGGCCTCCAGGTTCAACAATAAACTGGAAGGATTTTTCTCCAGCACCTTGGATCCTTACAGTGGAAGCTTTAGTGAATGTGTATCAGTTCAGCATGATTTATGCTTTCTCCCCCTCCTAAACGTCTTCCTCACTTTCTTTGCCGGTTGATGGTGTATGGCATTCCACTGATCCTTGTTGCCCCTATCTGGCCCAGGAGAGCGTGGTTCTAAGACATTGTCAAGCTTCTAGAAGACGACCCATGTCCTCTTCCAGATAGTCCCAGATCTGTTATCTTAAGGACCGGTCTTCCACTCTGTTTCAAGGTTAAATAATTTTAACTGCATGGCTGTTGAGGCCCAGGTCCTGAAGGACATGGGTCTTTTGGATTCAGTCATCTTTATGTTCTTGAAAAGTAGACTTCCCAGAAGGTCTACTATTGCACTTGGAAAACATACCTGTTGCAAGGCATGACAGTTTCACCCTACAAAGTACTTCATGAGATGAATTCTGTTCTTCCCCCAGTCTTGTCTGGACCAGGCTTTGACTTTAACTGCTAAGAAGTGTCTTATCTTGACTTTGGTGGTTCTGGCGAGAGTTCCTTGGTTATCCCTTTTGTGCATGGGCTGCCCACCTGTGCATTTTTCTTTTACTTCATGGGACCTCAACTTAAACCACTGCTCCAGTCTATCATGGGCATTCTTCTCCCTGTCGTTACCCATAAGGTTGCCTTCCTTGTTTATTACTTTTGTCCCAATGGTTTCTTAGTTGGTGACCTTATTCTGTAAGAAGCTGAGCTTTGTGCTACACAGGGATAAGGTTGTTCATAGGCCTTCGGTCTCCTTTTCACCCAAGGGGGTTTCTTCCTTCCACTTTAACCAGAACATTGTTTTACCTTCTCTCTGTCCTGATCCTAGGCACCCCAAGGAGATTGCTCCCCATTACGTGGATGTGGTTTATGCTGTGGGACTCTCTACGGTTGGCTCCCTCGGTCCTGCCTGAAGGTTCGCTGAAGGGGCAGACTGTTTTTGTTCCATTGTTGCTAGTTGGATTCACCAACTCATGACTTAGGCATGTGACCTTAAGGGGAAGATTCCCCTTTTCTGGTAAAAACATGTTCTACCAAAAGTATTGGTGCCTCTTGAGCCTGCCTGCATTGGGCTTTGGTTTAGCCTGTTGGCCATTTTGTTGTGTTGCTTGTGGATGTCCCATTGGTCTAAAAACTAGCCAACCCTGTGTCCTGTGATGTATGGTAAGGAAAATAGGATTTTTGACTTGCCTGTAAAATCATTTTTTCTTGAAGTACATGAAAGGCACATTCCCTCTGTGTTTATGATCTCTCCTGTATTGCTTGTTACAAAACTGAAAGCATGCTTGGGAGTAGGAGGAGTTATGCAGGGCTTTGCCAGTGTCCAATCCCCTGAAAGTGGTGCATAACCCATTGGTCTATGAATTGGGTAACCCTTTGTCCTGTGATGTACTTTAAGAAAAATATTTTACAGGTAAGTTAAATCCTATTTTGCATCTTGCCAGTCCCTTTTGATATGGTGGCTGCATTAGCTGTTTGGTTTTTTTTCAGACTTACAAACTTTTTCTGTAAGTACATTAAATACATGTTGATCGTTCCAGAAAGGCAGTGTCCTTGTCACTTCTGTGAGCGGAAACATTAAAAAATTCTAAATTGTCTAAGCGACTAATTCTATATGTAATGGAGAGGAAGACCTGTTTGATGTCCTGCTTTGGTTTGCAGCCATGACCTGAAGGGACAGAAAATGTTGTTTGCAGAATTACCGAGTGAAATGGGAAAAACACCTATAAAGTAATGCAGCAACCCTAACAACTTTTAAGCTGCTATATATTAAAGTGTTGTTTTTGGCTTTTAGATGCTTAAGCTTTATTGGCAAAATTATTGCCATGTTTTAGTTTTAACATCATCACACTAAGAGTTGCACTTGACTAAAATGTCATATTTTAATGGCATCATTGTTTGCCCTTTGTCATTTTTAGTCTGTAGGATAGCTTTACTTGTGTTTTTTAACATCCCCATAACTCATATACATGTAACGTTAATTTCCTTTATCACTAGGAGCTAACTGGAGTAAGAAATACAAGAGATCTAGAAAAAGAGGCAGGAACTGTGCAGATGAACACTGGACGTCCGGTGCCCCAAAGAAAAGGAACTGCAGACAGCCTGCAGCTTCTTCACAGGTAAGCAAATCTGTTGCCATATGTTCCCTGTGTAAAGTAATGGTACAGGCCATGATAGCAAAGATTTAAAAAAAAAAGAAACCTAGTTTAATTGCAAACTTGGCTGTGCCGTATTCATCACTAGGCTTAGTTACTTTACATGTATGCATTTTCCTTTGTCACAGTGCCAACAGCAAGCCAGGAATCAATGATAAAAGTATGGGAGCTGTCATTGCTTCCTTTATAACATAAAGCTTTTATGAGACCTATGTGGACTTGTGCTGCCCTGTAAATGCTATAGTTGGTAAGTTTGACTATTGGTGGCAATCAAGTCAATGACCAACAACCAATATGCAGATCAAATGTGCTGAAAAAAATCAATAGTCTGTAGACTTGTTCCTGCTCAAGCCAATATGAAAGCAAACAGGTTGAAATGGGAGGCAGGCATCTAACAATTTTCAGGAGAGATTAGCCATGACTGCCTCCATGTTTCTCTCCTAACAAGTGTCCTTTAAAGATGCAGTTTCAAGAGCTACCATCTTGATCTCACAACCTAGTGAGTCGATGACCTGCAGCAAGTATGCAGGATGGGAATTCAGACTTCCCTGACTTAAAAATGCAGTCTCTTGGTGGCTTTTTCTGTAACTTCAGTCATTTAGCCAGGGTACTGATTTGCAGTGTCCATCCTAGCCATTAGAAGGAGCTCACACAAATCTGTGTATTGAATTGGGAAATACTATTATCAAAATTGCATAAATGCAATTTTCTTTTATCAAAGTCTGTTTAGACTTAACGAGAATGCGCTATAGTTTCTTTTGTATGTTGTACTGGTCCATCATACTAAACATTACCTATTATATCAACTTTGATTTAAAAAATGGGGATCCTCTGGCCAAGAAAGACGCTTACCAATAAAGGGACATTTCTTTTATGTACTGGATAATACATGCGATTTAGCTTACTGTAATTGAACTCATCAATGTACATTAATGTTTTAGGATAAAAAAATGTAGCCAGTCGAATATAAATTTCAATGGTTTCCTGCTAATTCAGACTAAATTCAATCAGCGATTTTGTGTTTTTTATAATTTTTTAATTTTTTTTTCTGTAGTCTCCTTTTGTCAAAGGAGCCCGATGGAAATATTGCAGCCAATTGGCTGAATACAGAATCAGAATAGAATAGCTGGCAGGGGAGTTTGCTCCATTCACATTCTTTAGTTTTTGATGTGGGGGATCAAGTAATGTTTCTCATGCAGCATGCCTGCTGAATGGGACAGATCTTTGTATATGGCCAACTTTAGTAATGCGTCACAGTGATTGCAATGTTTTTAAGTATTTGCATACCAAGTTTGTTTTCAACTGTGTTTTTATGACAGCATGAACTCACCAAAGAGAAAGCCAAGCTGGGTCACCCTAATAAAACATGGAGTGAGCCTGCTGATAAGAGCACTAAACTTTCACACTCAAGTGGAGATTCGAAAGATGGCAAGTTTTCTAGAATGGCTAGCCAAGTTACCATAAAAACGGAACCTATTGAGGAATCGGATTGCTGCACTACTCCTTCTCCAGTCAAGCCAGGTGAGGATCATTCTTCAATACTCTGATGGTTTTGTTTTCCCAGACCCTCTCGGGAACATTTTTTTTTTAAATTTTCAGTATTGGATATGTTTTGCATTACTAGAGTACCAGATAGCAGCTTATACTGTAGGTCTGTAACTAATTATAATTAAGGTGGAAATATTAGGTTTAGATGGCGTGCTCTATTGTGCTGTTAGATTGGGTGTTTTCTTTTCATTCATTTAAAATGGAGCACTGGACAGACTTAATTACCACGTGATCTGTGGTCAACATTGTAATCCTGGTGGTGATATTGCTTATTTTCTACTTGTAACCATTCTTTCTTTGTAAATAAAGCAAACTGTGGAAATAGACGCAAAAGTAAACTTATTCCAAGAGTGTGTGACTTTGATGACCTGGATGCTCAACTTGGCATTAAAGAGGAAGAGGAGGAGGAGGAGGCAATTTTCCCTAAAGCTAAGGTGATTATCTTCAAATGTATACAATGCTTAGACTGAGGATGTCATTGTGATGGTTGCTGTGTCAGTCAGTTATTCCCACCTTGCTCTTTGAACAGTAGTTCTTCCTACTGTTTTTGCTTTGTTCTCCCTCTGTGTCTTTGTCTCTAAATGGTTTCCTTTGAAAATTGTTACCTTTCCTTCAGCTAGTAAGCAGTACAGATAATGCTTGTGATATTCTGTAGTGCTGACTTTTATTATAATGTATTGCTGGGACTTGTAGTCCCGCATAGCTGGTGGTATTCTGCATTGCTGTATGATGATTATACAGCAATGCAGAATAGCACCAACTATGTAGGACTACAAGTCCCAGCAATGCATTATAGTGGGGTGGGGGGTGCTGGTGGTATTCTGCATAGCTGACTTTTATTATACTGTCTTTCCTGATCACAAAGGACAGCAGAGTCTCTAGCAGCTGTCCATCTACTTGATTGGGGGAATTGAGGAATGAGACCCCAACACTAAACGCAGATACCGGTGTTCTGTCGAACGCTGATGTAGTCGAACCTGCCGATCTCGGCATCTGCGCTTGCGCACAGACCAATATTATCGAGGAAACCGGGATTTATTCACAAAGTATTTAGTTTAAATCGTTAATTGTGACTTAATATTATTCCATCCATAATTTACTGCTATCCATCATTTACTGCCATGGATGGCATATTATTAACGGTACTTTGTAAATAGATGCTGGTTTCCTCGTTAATCCTGTCTGTACGTAAATTCAGATACTGGGTCTTGACAGAACACCGGCACTAACATTTTAAACAAGCGGCTGCCTGAGGTGCCGCGCATGCTGGGGAACCCGCCAGTCCTCCTGTTAACCATGCGGTGCCATTGCCGTTGGGGGGCCCATCATGGTTTCTTGCACCGGGGCCCTGAAGTTTCTAGTTACGCCTCTGACTCACAATAGTGAGTCTTCAGAGACTAGGATAGGGAACTGCCACAGCTCTGGTTCCTTAACTCGGCAAGTAGTCCCCAGATATACTGTGCGAACTGGAACACAGATGGGTCCAATTGCAGGACTGCTGCAGCGATAACCTTAGTACACTTGATGAACTGGGAATACCCGCTCTCACTGACTAACTGGAGAGACTTCCAGGATTTCCATTATCCACCATGAATCTACAAGTAGCTGTAAGAATACATTACAATAAAATTGCTGTATGTGTGTCTATCAAAGACCACATGCACACTCCCTTCCCAAGCATGTATAAGAATGATAAATGAAGATTATAATTGCTATGGCCCACAGTTAAAAATATATCTGACACACCACAATTGATTTATAGGTCTAAATATTGCACATATGTAAGGTCCAGATCTTGTACACTGCTTTTATTGGTTAATATTAGGGTTGCACCGATACCATTTTTTCGGTATAGAGTATGAGTACCGATATCTTTTTTTTATTTATTTTTTTTTCCAGTACTCGCCAATATCGATACGGAAAGTCCCATTAGAAAGCCGGGTGGCTTCTAATGACTCGCCGCCCGGCTTCCTGATTAGCCGGGAAGGCAACTCCATGCTCCCTCTCCACCAGTTGACGATGAAGCATGGAGTCTGCTTTCTGGCCAATCAGGAAGCCGGGGGGCGGGTAATGACTTGCTTCCTGATTGGCCAGCTTCCCGTCCAATCAGAAAGCTTGGGGG